ATACTGGAAGCTGCTCTGAGGTCTCCACGCAGCCTTCTCTTCTCCAGGCTGAACAGCCCCAACTCTCTCAGCCTGTCTTCATAGGGGAGGTGCTCCAGTCCCTGAGCATCCTCATGGCCCTTCTCTGGACTTGTTCCAATAGCTCCATGTCCTTTTTATGTTTGGCCTGTGTTGCTTGAGCACAGACTGAGCAGCCACAGCTCTGAGCTGGGAGTGAGAAAAGATGGGAACAGCATTGACAATGCTGTTTAGACAACTCACTTGGACAATAAAAGCTCTCTGGGATTATATGCTGCTTGGAAGTGGGTATCATCTTGAACCTAGCAGTCTGTTACAATTCATACCAAAACTGCTTTGGAGTGATTCCTCTGGGGCTCAATCCATCCCTTTAATCTTGACTAGCTCAAGGTCCTTAGCAGAAGGTGTAAGACTGATCTGCACAGCAGACCTGCTGCTCCTGTTCCTGCAGATCTCATGCTCTCTGGTTGGATGGGTTTTGGCCGTGAACCAGTGTTTAGTTTTATTGGCTGAAGTTCATGCATGTAACAGGGCACCTGGAGGCAGGGGATTTCCAAATTGCAGAGCTGTGACATGAGTTTGCCTCCCCAGCACTTTGTCACTGGGGAGGAACTGAGGCGGTGCAGTGCCAGCCAGGAGGGAAGCTCAGCAGCTCCATGAGGGCAGGACCATGCCCCGCACCATTTGCAGTACAAAGGCCTTACTTAGTTACATTCTAATACACAGGTTTTCCAGAAAGGGGAGCAGGGGGGAACTTCTTCCTTTTCCTCTCCTTCATTCATCCCCCCCTTTTAATGCACTGTATCTGGACAGAGCACAAATGAGACAAGGTTTTTGTTTCTAGAGAGCAAAGCAGTCATTGGATCCCCTCAAAAATCGGAAGAGAAACGAGGTGAGAAGAGGAAAGCATCTGAGATGGAAGACAATGGCAAAAAGGTATGGTCAGCTGGGCAGCAGCCACTTTGGGTGGGAAGGAGCTGAGGCACCTTTGGTTGTCTCTTCACTTTTGCCTTCCATCAGGAAAGCTGGAAATCCTCCTACAGCAGCACCCTAAGTTAAAATGACACGTAAAGGCAGAAAAAGCAAGTCCCCTGGTAAAGGCAGCAGATGGCTGAGCTCTGCTGGCTGCAGAGCTGATGCAACTGGGTTTGTCATGCTAAAGGCCAATGTTGGTGAGGAGACCCACCAACAATGTCCTGCTCTGCGAAGCATTGAGACTGCTGAGTGGCTGCTTTTCCTGACTGATGCGTACGACGGAGTTGGGAGGTGTAGGAGAGAGCTGTCCTTTCTAGCCCATTGTGCAGCAAATTGTGGGAGTGGAATAAAGTCACTGAGCTGTAAATTCCATGATGAGCCTGGAGCAGTTATTTTGATATAAAAAGCAAGTTCTCCCCCCCGGGGTTGTTACGTTCTCCCACTTTAACTAAGAAGCCTCAGCTTGTAAAGACAGAGACATTAAGATCATGTTTACTGGACCACATCAGCATCAGCACTACAGGGAGTAATGGGATAATAATTCTCTTTAGTTGGGACAGTGCTGTTCAGCTGGAACATCTGGCTTGCAGAGGAACCATGTGGGTGCTGCTCCTGTGTACGATTTAACAGCAGTCCCGTTATTAGGTGTGGGATTAGAATGAGAACCGTGGGAACTGCAGATAGACTCGCTCATGCCTTCAAAGATCTGTAGTGTCATTCCCAGACCAGTTTAATGGCTTTTCCAACCTCTGCTTCTCTCTCACCATCTGCAGCTACTGCTGGACATATTCACTGGTGTGAAGCTCTACCTATCGCCCTCTGTGAAGGACTTTGACAAAATCCAGCGGTACTTTATAGCATACGATGGGGACCTTGTGACAGAGTCTGACACAGCCTCAGCAACCCACGTTATAGGGGACATCGATGACAATCCTGGTGCTAAGCGTGTGTCTCCCAAGTGGATCTGGGAGTGCATCCGGAAGCAGAGGCTGGTAGCCCCATGCTAGCAGTGGGGGGCAGCTGAGCAGGCCCGACACAAGAACAGCAGAGAAGTAGGTAGGTGGAAGAAATGGTGAGGTTCCTCTGTGGAAACATGGATAGAAATAAAGTGCCCAAGACCATCCGAGGTAGCTCTAAAGAGCCATATGGAATCAATTAAAACAGCTCTCTGAGGAAGTGTCACTGCTGACTCCATTTTTCTGCCCATACCATAGGCTGCTGCACTTACCCTGGTGCTGCTTTAGTCTCTGGGTTTTTAAAGTTTGGGTATTTTTATAGATAAATAAAACTGAAGCAGTTGCTCCTTTGCTGTCAGGACTTATTTCCCCAAAGTTACTCTCTGCCGGGCCAGGAACACAGCCCATCAGCTCTGTGAAAGCACCAGCTGTGAATTGCTGCATGGCTACAACTCCCATGAAGGACACGTGTCCTCCTGCTTTGACTTTGCTTTCCTGACACTCAGCACAAGTCTGTACCTGGTGGCAGTGTGCGCCTCTGCGGTAGGTTTCATACCAAAACTGGGGCACCAAATGATCTTCCACTGCAGCAACTGCTGCAGCATTGTCTGAGCATCCCCTTGGAGGGTTTGTTCTCTAGAATATGCTGCTCTTGTTTCACCAAGGAAAAGTTGAGGCAAGAATTCTTGCAACACCTCCTCTGAAGGTGTTCGAAACTACTGCAAGTACTTGAATAGTAAGGAAATAAGGAAAATGGGGTTTAGGAATGGGTTCATTTTAACTGTTATGCAAATACCACTGTGACTCTGCATGACATACTCGTGACTGCATGGGCAGGGCGGGTGCATGTGTACACGATGGAAGGAAAACCAAGTTGACCAGTTTACTGGTTTCTTTAACCTCAAGGGTGCTCTCCCCTTTGTAATCTCCACACCATTAAGACTGCACTGCTGAAAGTCAGTGTGTGTTTGTTACCTTCTTTCCTTCAGCCTCTCCTGTACTTGTCCCTCTCCTACTGCTGGTATTTAAGCGCCTGCTCTCCCAAGCCTCTCCAGGTTGAAGCTCAGAAGTAGCTGTAGCATCTCTGCTCTCTCCTGGCCTGTTGGTAACAGTCAGAAACCAAGGTTAACTAAATCACAGTTCAACTTTATTATAAAATTATAAACCAAACTTCTGTACCAAAACTAGGAAGTTTCACCATCATCGTACCAAGAGGATTTAACATGCCAGTTTAAGGAGAATATGAACTTTTAAAGTATGTACAGTGGACATAAAGCACATAAATATTACCCTTTATTAGTTCAGATCATTATATTCCTTTGGATCTTTAATCAGTTTCCTCCACATTTTGATTTTCCTTTAAAAACAACTCAGCCATAAGTAGAAAATCATTTTTGCAAGGGAAAAACTGGAGCCAGGAGACAAAAACAGAACCTCCTCCCTTCAGAAAGCACATTTCAGAGTTATGGGGGGGGGGGGGGGGGGGGAATCTTCTCATTCCTAAGGTTTCAAGCGTTGATCCACAATTTGATTTATCTGCTGTAGAAAATAAGCCTACCCTCTCCAGGTACATCTGTCTGCAGGGGAATCCTCATCTTCCTGCTTCCCCCCAGCCCTGAGTTTATTGAGAACTATGACAACATGAATTTTCACAGTGAGTTTATGAATGAGGCAGTTCAGCACTTTGTGTGTGTATTCCTGTACCTCTGAGAGGGCCCTGTGAACCTCCTGAAGAGTAAATACAGTGACTGCTTACCTGCCCTTCCTTTCTTTAACATGATGCATGGAACTGTACCAGTGCTCATCTCCTGCTGGAAGCTGTTAAGCCAAATACTAAAGAACAACCTGAACAGAGAAAGAGGGAAAACTCTGAATTCTTAGTTCAGTAAAGCTCAGTAGTGCAGCAGTTCTGCTACCAACTGACAAGATTTCTTCAGCTTAAGTGCTCTGTTAACACTCAGAGACCCTCCACTCCAAGCCAGTTGAGAAACGAGCTGCTACTCATGCAATACTCCATGTTAAAGATGACACCGGTTTAATTCCCTGTTAACATACATTGCCACTTACTGCAACAGTAGATGTCTTTGGTGATGGTTTCTGTAACTGCACTTCTGCTGCTCCAGGAGCTGTAAGTGGACACTTGGTTTTGTGCTGTTGCTCTGCTGGCAGCTGTGCAGAGATGCAGCTTGAACACTAAGTGATCGCTCCCCATGAAGGGAAAAGCTAGACGGGAAAGAGCCTGCAGCAGAAGCTACTCAGCAAATGACTTAAAATGAGTGTACAATCCTATGGTGGTGAGAACTTAAGGCATCAAGATTCTGAAACTCAGGGAGAAATACGCCAGCTACAGCTCTCTCTAGCAAGGCTTCCAAATGAACATGCTGCTCCTGAGGGCTTGCACTTGTCATGAATCAAACCGGAGCCTCCTGTCCACCCTCACACGCAGGAGTGAAAATCAACTGCTCTGATAAGCAGTCTGCATGTACTGGAGTAAGGGTGAGCAAAGGGGAGGATGGGGGAAGCATCTGTAATGATTTGAGGGAGATAAAGCTTCCTTTCTTTCATGTCTCCTCTCTGTAAAGTCACCTGTACTTAAGCATGATTGTGTAACAGTAGAACCCTTACTGCTCTGTAGCTGTGTCTTGGCCTCACTAAACCCTCTGAAAGACTCAAGCCTTCGATTTGTAGCTCCTTAAGTGAAATGAGTTCAGGTTTAAAACTGAAAGTCCGAGGGATCTCCCTGGTGTGCAAACCAACCCACCACAGAGGTCAGGCTCCATGGGCCAGAGCCTCGCTCTTGTTCTGTTTTCAATACTATAAAGTCCACCTTCAAATAAAACCATACAATTGTCCACCGTTGCACTAGGCTAGACGTGTTTATTGTGCTGTGGAGGGGGGAGGCTTGGCTGCCTGTCCTGCAAGCATAGGAGTTTAACATTAAATTAAAGGTAAAATTAACAAGTACAATAAGCTTTCATCTTTGAAAATAAAAGTTGTTGCTGGGCGTTGAGCCTAAGCAGCAAAACAAAGGTCACTGAGATCCCACTGTATTTACTAGTCAGGGGAAAATATGAAGCCTCTGCATCTGAGCTTTGGGGTGGGAAGCCAAACATCCCTGGCTCCCCACCTCTAACGGATCACGTTATCCTCGAACGTAGGTTAAGTTTGTGTGTCTGCTGCTGGCAATGAGCTCCAAGGAGTCCAGGCACTGTGGTGTAAAGCACTATCATGGGAAGAGCACAGCCAGGCATGGCTTGGGTAAGAACAAGTTTTCTCAGGCTTCATCCTTCCCTCACCTCCAGCTTCCAGTGGGGTCCACGTGCTAATCTCTGACCTAACTAGTAGCTATTTCGACCGTTTCTCTCACAGCAGATGAGGCTTTAAGGCATTCCCAGTCTTCCTTCCGCACGCTTAGGACTTAAAGACATGGACGGCCCTTATCACATACTGCCGGCAGATGGGGCACTCGCTCATCCGCTTCCCGCACTTGGTGCAAGTGACCATGTGGCCACATTCCAGCAGGACACAGTCAATGGGGGCATCCATGCAGATTTTGCAGAGGTTTTCCTCCGTGCCCGGGAGCCCGGCGCCACCTGAGTAAAGAAGAGACCGGGGTTGGCAAGAGACAAGGAAACAGAAGGCAGGTACGTTGTCTCTGAGCAGTGTGTGAGTTGGCTTTGTCCAGCTTCTCTGATGGACTTGTGCACACTGAAGGTCTGAAAAAGAAACGCTTGTGTCTGACTCAACTGATGTGGAGGTATCTGCTCCATCAAGGGGCAGGAAGCTGTAGCTTTTAGAGTCATTTGTGCGATGAAAACAGAAATACCACTGAGATTCTTAGCAATGAAGCAACATGGATCTCTCTTCACTAAGTGACAAGAGAAAACGGCCTCAAGTTGTGCCAGGGGAGGTTTAAATTGGATGTTAGGAAAACTGTCTTCCCCAAAAGGGTTGTCAAGCACTGGAACAGGCTGACAGGGAAGTGATGGAGTCACCATCCCTGGAGGTAATTGACAGACATGTAGATGTGGCACATGGGGACACGGTTTTGGCAGTGCTGGGTTAACAGTGGGACTCGATTTGAAAGGTCTTTTTCAAGTCACACAGTTCTAGGATTAAGAATATCACTTACCAGTTTGATCATCAGTGTCAGAAACTGCAACAGAAGAAGAGACAGTTATTTGGTGAGAATAAGGGGAGCTGGGGAAATAACATGTTTCTCAAGCAGTATTATTAACAGGGGACGAAAGCCTTGAAGGGAGATCACTTAAACCAAAACTGCCTTTTGCTGATCCCCATGCAGGGGCTAAAGCTGAGGCTCTGATCAGGATAGGTTCAACTGACGAGAACCTTCTCTTCTGCTGCGCTTGCACAACAGCCAATGCTTCCCAAAGCTCAGCAGCCACCTACAGTGATGTGTCAATGTTTAACACAGAATCGATGCGGTGCTTGGCTTCCAAGAACTACACTTTCAGTTCCTTTGGTGTTGCACAATCTCACCAATATTGCTGAGCACAGCCGAGACAGGCAACAGGGATCGAGAGAAAAGGGCAAGTGCTGTCAGAAGCACAAGATCCAATGAAAGAAGAACATAAACCCAAAGCAGTTGTCTTAAATCTTGTTATCGTTCCCAGAGGACAAAGCTTAGTTTTGAAGACAACAAAGCCACATTGGACAAACAGTGAGAAACAAACCCCTCTATGAAATCAAAGCGTCCCAATCCATTTCTCTTGGAAACCATTTACAAGTGTGCGTCTCTTTTAACCCTAGAATTGCAGACTGGCACCTGCAAGTCTAGCACACCACCATCCCTCCCTGCTCAGCGTGCAGGCCTGGCAGTGCACTGCAGGAATGGCTCTTGTGATCAAGAGTCAAAGCACAGCTCCCCATGGCTGGGCAGCAGTGGGAGCCGCCGTCCCCAGGCACATGCCTGGTTCTGAAGTGCCCGGCTGCTTTCGGGTGGCATTTTCCTGCTCACTTTGCCAGTCACCATGAGTCGACAGATCAGAGCTTACACTCATCCCTCTGCGGTCGCACATCAGCCGTTCAGCGGGTGATGCAGTGACTCCACGATCCGCCACAGAGGAAGGGTGCAGAGTTCTCCTTTGCTGCTAACAGAGGGAAGCCACTCTCCAGAGCTACCATAATGCTCTCCTCTTACACAAGTACAAGCAGTGGTGAATAAAAGTTTAGCTACTTTCACTCTTAAGATACGTAACACTTTCTCCTCCCTTGCACAAAACAGATGTTAAGTTCTAGTTCCTTCTGCAACTGTCCATAAAAAGGGAACACCTGGGAAACAGGCCCATGTTTGCTCAGTTCCTTACCTAGATGTTGAAGGTCTTTCTCTTTATAAAGACGAGTCACCCGCTCCAGCAGCTCCCACTTTTCACAGCAGCCTTTGTAGTTGACAAAGTTGCGAGCAAGGATTTCCTTCAGCTGTCGCACGGAGAGCGCGTTGATGTCTCCAATGCTTGTCAGATCAGACAGAGAAGCCTTCCTCCCCTGCACCAGGTTATCTTCGGAGTCTGTAGACTGAAAGGGAACAAAGATGGAGTGATTCTTGCCCTCAACACATAGCTCTACAGCTTAAATCGGCTTTCAATGTGTGCTAGCAGGGATTCATGTTTGGATATAAAAACAACCCTGACTCCTCTGTGAATTCCTCCATCTATCAGAAACACAAGTCCTAGGATGGAGATAAGTCATTTCTATTAGTATAGTGTCCAAGAACACCAGTTCTTTGCACGTGTGGAGGACACGATGCCAAAGAAAGGGGCTGATTGGGTCTGCCCGTGGGCAGCCTGAGTTACTGGTTAGCCCCCAGTCTCTCTGCAGTAATGATTCTCTGGCAGCAAATACAGCCTTGAAAACCTGGTATTCCTGGTTATTAATTCCAGGACACACAAACCTGAGTCTCCTCCTCTGCTTGCGCTTCAGCTGCAATCTCGACTCCTGTCAAACCAACTTGGCTTGGAGGCACGTAACCATTTGCCTAGAAGAGGAAATAAAGCTTTCACCAAGAGCACGTCTGTGTGTCCAAAGCGAAATAAACTCACTATTCAGCATGACCCTGCCCATGGCCAGGGGTTGGAACCAGATGGTCTTTAAGGTCCCTTCCAACCCAAACCATTCAGTGATTCGAGGATCATTCTGTAACTGCAAACGCTGCCCACTGGAAGCACAGACTGCAGCACAAAGTACAAGTGAGGCACACTCACAGGAAGCTTTTCCTGTGCATCACTAACAAAACCAAGCTTAGAATAAGTAAAACTCTGAAACTGAAATCACCATCTGACCCTTTAAAGCCTCACTTTATTTAAGCCCTGACAAAGTATTTGTACAGCAAGATCCCACATAAGGTTCTTATGAGGCTGGATCAGGAGGAGACCAAATTTATACACACACACATATATATGCAGCGCACTGCAGTGTGGCAGTATGCTGTGGTACGGTATGACAGCCCTGGTGGTACACTGCTGCCAGTACAAGGCTCTGTGTAACACAGCTCAAAGCCAACAGGTCATCTTCAAGTAACCACAAATACCTCCAGGTGGGTTCTGGACTGGACAAACAGGAGATATCACATGAAGGACCACCAGCAGCAAAGCTGGAGATGAGGAGGAGCAGCTGCTTTGAGCACTTAAAGGAACTGCAGTGTCATTCAAGCTGACTCCCCCCCCCCCCCAAGCAGCTGCCGTTCCCCTCTGTGGTTTCCCTATGACAAAGGAGACTGTAACGTTACCATCCTACTTATCTAAGTGGGGACTTGTTAATATTTACCAAGTAAGAGGATAACGATAATGATGAAAGAGCCTGAGCTGCAGCAGGATGTCATGCAAATGAGACAAGCTGACATGTGTCATGGGGGCAGTAAGGGAAGACAACAGAGCTGAATGTGCTGGTAAAAACTGGAATGGCAATAGCCAGAAACCAGGCAATGAAATGGTCTTTTAATGATTTGTGAGAACTGTCCTGCCAGGAAAGCTCTTCTTTGGCACTACACACAGCTGCTGAGGAAGCAGGAGGTACATACACTTTCACAGCTTTGATCCATAGGGAACTAAAGACACCTATTAACTTCCTAATAGGACTAGGAGCAGATGTCAAACACGGAGTAAACTTTCCACAGCAGATAGCAGAAAGACAAACAAAGCAAAGTCAATGAAACATAATTAAGCTCCAATGCCCCTGCCGTGGTTCATTACAGACTGCAGAGTGAATAACATCCTCAGCTTTGCCTTCTCTTGGTCTGAGTGCAGAAGGCATCAAAAACCTCACCTGTACTGCAATCATCTCATCAGTTTCAGTTCCAAAATGGCTTTAAACTGTGCTTGTGTCTTGCACATGAATTAAACAACAATAGTAACCATTTCTTCTAAGACCTACAGACAACTGTCAGAAAGCCATCAACATCAACACACCAGACAGATCTGAGCAGTGACACAGCCATCGGGTACCACAGCAATCAGCCACAGAGGATCTAGTGGCAATGGCACATTTGGACCAGAGCACCAGAGGAAACGCATCTCAAAACAGTGGTGGAGTTGTCCGAGTGAAGGTTCAGCACTGCCCACCAAATTCCATAGTGTAGAATGGGAATAGCACATCAAAGCTGGTGGTGGCATGTTGAGGTTTTGGCTGGGATAGAGGTAATTTTCTTCCCAACAGCTGGTGCAGTGCTGTGGTTTGGATTTAGTGTGAGAACAACGGTGATAACACACCGATGTTTTAGTTGTTGCGACGTAGCGCTTACCCAAAATCAAGGACTTTCCAGTCTCTCCTGCTCTGCCAGTGAGGAGCTGCACAAGAAGCCGAGAGGGAGCAGAGCCAGGACTGGTGACCTGAACTAGCCAAAGGGATATTCCATACCATAGAACATTAGACTCAGTACAGCAACTGTGGGGAGTTGGCTGGGGGCTGATCGCTGCTTGGGGACAAGCTGGGCATCAGTCAGTGTGGGGTGAGCAATCGTATTGTTCATCACTTATCCGTCTTGAGTTTTATTCCTCTCTTTCTCATTATCATTGTTATTACATTCTACTTTATTTCAACCATTAAACTGTGCTTATCTCAACCTGCAGGTTTTACCTTGTTCTTATTCTCCTCCCCATCCCACCAGGGAGGGGCAGGGGGCAGTGAGTGAGCGGCTGCTGGTACTTAGTTGCCAGCTGGGATTAAACCATGTCACAGCAAGTCAGTTTTACACACAGCAAGGCAGTGCAAACTAATTCGTCTTGCTTCCTAATCACTCTGTAAGAAAGCAAAGTTCTCACTGCAAAATCAAAACCAAACCCAAATAGAGCACGTATAAAACACAACAGAAGTATTTTGTCATCTGTTCTATACAGAACCCTCCTTGCTTTTTACGCAGGTATAACATAACACTTTTCTTGCCACACATCTACCTGGAAAACCTCATGCACCCTCAGTAGCTAATCCAAAAATAGAGAGGAATGAGGTTGCAAAAGATGCTTCCGGCTGGAGACTGTACCTGTTCATGTTCCTGAGCTAGTGAACTTGAGACGGGATCTGCAGACCCTGGAGACGCATCATGTGAGGTAGAAGATGCTGGGCCGGTTGGTGGGAGAATCACGAAGCCTTGCTGTCCAGAGGCACTAGTATGAAATGGATTTGTTCTTATCTGATCTTCCTGGGTAATTACAGGCTGCTGGCCAAGAATCAGCAGTACCAGGTCCTCCTTTTCACGACACAACTCTGTGGATACCTCGTGGAGTGCCAGATAGTCTCGCAGATCCTTCACCTTCATCTTTATCAACTCCTCCCGCTGAAAAGCCGTGGCTCGGAACCGCTGGCAGAGGTGGCAGAGGAGGGGACCACCGTCAGCCTGGCTGGAGCAGGACGTACAAAAGTTCTTCTTGCAGTCCAAGCAGACGTGCTGGTAACGAGAAGGAAACAAAATCAAACCCATCCATGACCTGCAACAGAGGCGCGCGACAGCCGCGGGCAGCGCTCCCCTTCCACCTGAAAGGCAAAGGAAGCAACAGCCTCTGATAAAGCATCACCAAAACCTCCTGCTTTATGAAAAAGCATCCAGTTTGTTACTCGTGTTCCTAGATCAGGAAAACCCCCATTTACCCAGAATGAAAAGTTAGATTCTTAGCCTCTTCCCTCAGACGACAGGCATTTTCCGCACCTTATTCAGGACCTGTTCATGCAGTTTAAGGCACAGGTGAAATCAGGAGATACCTGTGAGGCAGCAGACTTTGAAGTAAATTACACCTAGTTGTGCACTGCTTCATAAAACAACCAAACCCCTGCAAATTAAGAAAGCCCTGGCACTGGAGGGAACCACTTAAAACCCTTTCTCCATTTCATCAATGTAATACTTGCTATGAGTGACCTTCCCCCTTGGTTTTTCCTTCCTCAATTTGCTGCAGTCACTGAATGAATCTTTTTTTTGCCATAAGAGGGAAAGGAAACGGCAATGCTGAGTGTCTGACAGACATCAAAGAATCCAACATTTATTTATGCAACAAAAATAGCCAGCTTCTGCTGAAAATACCAGGCAGGCCATGTGCCAGCTAGGTGCTAGGCAGAACGTGTTGGAAGGTTTGGAAACAGCAGGCCCCGGGTGTTTAAATCTCTACAGATTCAGTTCTGTTGGTCAATGTCTCTATTTTACCCTGTTCTGGTCTCCTCACTCAGGGCTCCATTTCCAAGCACTCCCAATCCACGGTGACTTCTGCAGACACTTGGCTGTTCAAGTGGGAAGTCAAATCCTACGTTTTCCAATAGGAAGAGCAGCAGAACAGCCCCACTGCGTGCCTTTTAAAAAGTCCAGAGGGAAGAAAGAACTGGTTTCAGTGCTGCAGAAGACAAGCACCTCTATGAAATGCTGACATCCTGAGCCTTTGGAGCCATGCCAGGAGAAACACACGTGTGTAGTGTATGTGAGCAGAGAAGCAACAAATACCAACTCAGAGACAGAAATATTGCTTCATGAGCTGCTTCTCCTGATTAAAGAACGTTTTTAACTTCACAGTGCAAAGCAAGCAGATGTTCCTAATGGTGGAAATGCACTACTTGCTTACATGAGCTCCTTCTGATCCCCTGGCAGCCCCCTTGCCCCACACACCCCTTACAATTATAACCAACAGGCTTCTCATTTAGACCCTGTAATAAACTTACAGTGACAGTGGAAAGAATCCCCATTTCCTGCCTAAGCATTTTAAGACATGAAAGTTTCTACCACAAAGAGAACCTCTGGTCACGCAAGCTTGAAACCTCATCTCCAGATTGCTGTTTGGGGGCCTGCCAAGTAGAAGTGACTTCCATCAGTGACACAGCAAGAAAGGAAGGGCAATTTCCACATACCCATTTTGAGAAGTTTTGCTTCACTTGGTCATTAGAATAGAAGCCCATTAGTATTTGCCTGTCTTCTTCTGACCTTACAATTGCAGGAGCACTCAGGGTAGAGACAAGAACTACTGGTTGTGTGCATGTCTAGAGTAGGGGAACAGGCATTGCACAAAGGCAGAGGAATGGGAAATAACCCCATTGACAACACTCCCCCTCTCTCAACCTTCCATCTGTGACAAGGGAGCAATCAGAACTGAGGAAGAAAACAACCAAACCCCAAACAGCCCTGCTTTGCTCTGGGCAGGGGGAAGCCTGCACCACACTCCAAAGGGAACCATTGTGTGGCCAAGGACCTTCCAGCCAGAGAAGTCCTACTTATTTACATGGTTAGACATCACGTAAGCAAGCCCAGAACAAGGGCTGCATTATCCAGCACGGGGTTTGGAAGCAATTAACAGTAATAACACAAGCCTGCCTTAGTTATCAAATGATACAGTTGAGAAGTCAAAATAAACCCAGGCCTGTCTCTGGCTTATCAGTTCACCAGTAGGATTTATCTTCAGAGGAAACAAGCTCCCCAGCCTGTACCTAAGCATCGAGTATTTAAACACGCACAGAAGCTGTCTGGAACCATCTCAGCATTAAGCAGCTTTTACAGCTCTTGAGATATTTGCTGAACTTTAAAGACACCAGTCTCTTCAGAATGATTACTTCCAAATGTTGCTGTAAATGAAAACCTGTTCTGAAAAGGTCAGGCCACTTCTGACTGATGCTCACTGACAGTCACAGCGTAGGCAAACCCAAGTGAAATGCTTCAAATCAGCAGCCTGTCCAGAGTGGAAGCTGCTCCTGGTTGGTTGCTCTCACAGCCAGTCTCCCAGAGATACCAGGATGGGGCTTTGATACACTTGGCTCTCGTCTGTATGCAGGATAAAAGAAGGAATGCCAACGTTCAAGCTCTCACTACAGCTACTGTTGTTCAGGGGGTTTTTTAACCTTACACTCCAGCTTGCCAGAGCTTTTCCTGTAAGTATGCAAAGAAAAGCATCTTCCTGAAAATGTCAGCCAATGGAAGGCACTGAAATCAGAAAATGGGGGAGGAAGGAATAACAATGTGACATATCCCCTGAGGATTCCTGCCACAGCCTTCTAGCAGCAGAGAGGGAAATGAAGGATGCTCGGTTTACATTGGAAAGATTTGGGGGAAGCGGTTTGCTGCAGAAAACTAAGGTCAGAAGTCATCAAAGAGAAGGAAAACACCAAAAAACTCAGAGATTTTTGCCCCCGCAATTAAGTTTTACATCCTTTAAAGATGCTCCAGCAGTTACTTAAGAGTGTCTCATACGTACATTCAAATGTCCCCTACCCTGACCCTTTTAGTAGGTGCCATGTTGGACAATAATTCCAGTACAATTAGGATAAAAGGCCAGGCTCTCCCCATGCCACCATCCTGCTTTGGGGCTGGGGGTTGGTTTTCTTTAAAGGAATCTAGGTTATCCTTATGGTCACCAGAGCAGAAGGAATTCATTTTTGTCCACTGTATTCCAGCAGAAACATTAACTGGACACTAGAGTTCAAAGGTATTGACTCTCCTGGCAGAGACTGCAGAGTTTTCCATGCTCTTGTTGCAGCAGACTGAGATCTCATACACTTCTCAGTCCGGATCAACAGCATTAAAGAATTAACATGGCCACAAGCATGTCAGCGTTCTCTAAGTTCTGTATTCAGTTCTCTGCTGGAGAGCAGGGAGCGGTGGAGGAGCTCTAGCAGACTTCCCAGCAGCTGTTTGAGCTTTGCCACCCAGCTCAAGTCAGTCCCAGAGATCACTGCTCTGTGGTTGTGGTGGCAGAAGGAAGGTGGAATGAAGGTTCAGGAGCCCCCCTTCACAATACTGAATCTAAGCCTCAAACTCCTTTTCATTGATAGCCTGCCCTGAATGGGAGCAGCTCAGACACAAGCACACATTGTACTCTCCTGCCCCAGTTATGCTGACAGCCAAGTTGCACAGAACAGCACCTGCTGGGGGCAGAATGTCTTGAACTGTTTCAGCAGATCCTCTACAAGGTACATTTGTGCACCAGAGCTTTAGCTAGCCCCGATCAGTCAGAATGTTTTCACGTATCTGGAACAGTAGCGATTGCTCCTATCCAAGACATTGCTTCAAAGACAGCTTACACAGAACACAGAATTCAGAAGATACAAGGAAAAATGGGACTATGGGTCCAGCACTGCTGCTGTATAATTCATACTTAACTGGGTGAATTGTTATCATTTCAAAAGCAGAATCATCTACATCCACTGTTTGCTACTATGCTCAACAGGAAGCACTGGATCCAGAGTAACTCCTTCCACAAGTGTTTGTGAAGGCACATCACATCAATGAGGACAATGCTGAAGATGACACAGTGTATGGAGTGACGTGCAGTGACTGCACTATTCCAGCTGCCCTAGAACCTGCCTACTGTCAGAAAAAGCCTAAGCATCCTTACATACCCAAAATATATGACTGTGTATGTAAGACACTTAAACCTCGGAGTACAGACACTGAACAACTTTACACACAAAACCATTTTTCAAGCAGCATTATAGAAACCACCATGGCCAAATAATGCCCTAGACAGGGACTGCTGCCCAACTAAAAGTCCTGTGGCAACAATTGTTTTGGTATCTATATGCTCATAAATGAGCTTTACAAGCACGATAAAATGGATTTGGTCTTTTGTAACTTTCTTCTACACACACCCTCCATAAACTTCTATGCTTTTTAGTTTAAGCAACAACAGTCTGGAAAAGAGAACTGTAGGTCCTCCTTTACTGGAAGCACAAACGGATGACTAAAATTCTGGCCACAACTAATTGAAAGGACATCAGTGCTTTTAAATCTATTTCAAAACTCAAGTCCAACTCATGCTCCTTCAAATGGTCATAAGCAGTTTGGCTTTCTTCTTCCAGAGCCTGGCAAAGCCAAGTGTGCTGAAGGTTAACTACCACATTTCCAGTCACCTTTAACTATGCCTGCTAAGGGTGAAAGAATGAGTAAAGACAGAAGCAAAGGCAAGCTGTCTTTTCCCATAGGGAATGCCCTTAAATCAGACGCTGCTAACGTGCACTCTTCAAAGTGGCTCTGTTGTTAAATGGAAGTCACGTATCATAGTGCCAGGGAAGACATTTGCAACTCACCTTCCTGGAGGAGCTGTCGAAGCGCATCCCACAGGCTTTGCAGCTCTGTTCTGAAGTGGTTGGAGATGGGTAGGAGCTGTACCCAGGGTTGGAATAGGCTTGGGCTCTGGCTCCCTGCTCTGGCTGCGGCTGCATCTCTTCAGGTGAGCCATCCAGACAAAACCAATTACAGCAGCTTGCCCACATAGTAACTGAAAGAGGGAAAGAGTCACATTAGAAGGGACATGGGAAACAACCTGTCAGCGAAAGGGAGAGCAAAGCATAAAATGCCTGTTTGAATTTGCCACCGTCAATTCGTTTCTGACAGTGCGTTTGTAAGTTTTGATCTTTAACTTTCAAGCACATGCAAAAACCACACATCCAGTCCAGCATGGAAAGCCTTTGGTGAGAAAGGACAACTAAAGTTCAGGAATTATCACTGGAATTCCTTAGAGTTAAGAGATTACAGTGAAGATATGATCAATTTTATGTTCCAATTGCCTGTATGAGACTATGATCCAGTTTGCTGTAACAGGCTGTGTCTATTCCACATAAACCTTATATACTGACTTTGAGTTTTGTGCATTGGGAAAAGCAAGCAGGAGTTGTGTCTCGCCCATTGTTTAAAGAAGATCAGCAGCAGGATCATAGACAGTGTTTGGTTTTATTCTAAATCCTCTCCAGATTTACAGATACAAACCTAAAAGGCTAAGAGACAAGGACAGTGGAGCCGCTGATTTAACATACGCCAGTTCTCAACTGAATTTGCACCATTACAAGGCTAAGCCATCAGACAGCGAGTAAATGTCAGTATAATGAGAAATTCAAACACCAGCTTCTCGTAACATACTTGGGAAAACAACTGCATTTGAGATAGAATCACTTGGGGGTTTATTGCAAGTCAAATAATGAGAGAGAGACAGAGAGAAAGATACACGCTTACCTAAAAGCCTAACAGTCCAGTGCGAACTGCAGTTCTGGAGCCCTGGAAGACCACCCATGCAGCAGTATTCCAGAAATACCCTGCTGCAAACTTGCTTTTGGGAGTTTACAAAGAAATCGGAATGCATCTGGGCATTCAGTTTCTACAGCATACCCCACGTGTCATCGCTTACTGGTAAAGAGAATACAAATCGCCTCCTCTGCGTTTCTGTATTCACACTGGTGTTCCTGGACCATGTTTCTTTTATGTCTTAAAAATCAGCTCCACCACTGATAGCGTTCAGCAACTGCTCCATTTTATAAACTTCTGGAAATGAAACATCTCTCAGCTACACAGCCAATTCATTTCTTTCCCTCAGTAAGTACTGCCACTGTGAAACTCCAGCTTCCTAAGGGATTGGGGCTGGTATGAGTCCTAAAGGTTATCTGGTATAACACAGCAACATCCTGTTCTGTTGATTTCTCTTTTTTAAGCTGTGTTAAGTCTTTTGGGTTGATGGAGTTGAATTGGGAAGGGTTTGCAGGTTGGTGCTGTTCCAGTGTCTGTAGCTTTAGTGGCATCTTTAATCCTTTCAAAATGTAGCTGAATTTGGCTCGTCAAAGTTGCTGCTGTCATGGGAGTGGACATACGCCTTTGAAAGCCTACAATGGTGAGCTTACCAATGCACTCTACCCTGCAGGCTCAGCACATTTTAATGTTGAAGTGAAACTCTATGGATTCATGACACGACGAACAATTCTTCATGTAACTGATGTGCGCAGTGCTGCAGTATCATCTGCACTTAGACTGGCAACTAGAGCTTAATACATGGAGAGAAGCGTTCCATGAGCAGAAATAACCTCTCATGCATTTGCTTTCACTCTGCACTGCAATCAAAACACATACTTTAGATATTATACAGCAAAGAATGACTCCTTTTCCTTCTGCACATTCATTTGCAAGCTGTCGGTCCCCACTCAGAACTTAATACCCCCTTTCTATTGCAGAGATCCTGAATTTCTATGCAAAACTACGCTGTTTGGAGGTTTAATTTGTTCCTAGGACTTGCAAATCTAAACAACACGAAAGCTGCACAGTCCCAGCCTCCCCAGCAGTGGAAAACTGCATCCCCAGTGAAGTTGCCTTCCTGTTTCAAGGACCCCTACAAACCGAAGGCCACCCACGATAACAGAATACGTAAACGCTGCTGCCTGCCCCTAAAACTTTGTTTTCTTAAGAAAAAAAAAGACAGCCCACTAATTCACCCTGGAACACTGCAACATGACAAACGTGGGGAAGAAAAACACAAGGGAGCACACAGAGCAGGATAAAAGAAGACAGAGCTCAGCATTTAGCTGGAGTTGTACTTTTGTGTAATTGCCAGGAAATGAAAAGGTTGACAAAAGGCTCAGATGTTGCTTTAGAAGAACCTTAATCCTGCCCAGCTACAAAGACATGGAAGGGAAATGTCCATAAATAAACAACGAATAACCAGGACTGGCCTCTGCTCTGTAATGTTTTCCCAAAGGTATCTCCCATCTTTAAGAGAAAGGAGCACGTGGAAACACGAACAGCCATTCACACAACTTGGGTGCACCACTTCCAGTTCTTTGAGGACCTCTGCATACAGGTGTATGTTTCAGTGAGAGCTTACCTACATGCAGCACTTACACCAACAAAGATGCTCCACTGACAACTGCTTTGTGCTGACACTGACGGCCACACAGAAGCAGAGAGCTCTCGCTTCTCTAGCAGCAGCTCAGGACGGTGGGTTCCTGCTGAGCACATCCTTTGTGCTGGGAGCAGGCATCCCACGCTCCTTTTGTGCCACCACCAGCTCTTACACAAAGTGGGAATCTCCTCCAGGCACATGGAAAGGTACCTGCCAGCCAAGGTGAGTGACCACCATCTCTCACCATGGCACACAGCGTGCTCCAGCTTAGACTGCTCATATACAAGTGCAAGAAGCTCATATACACACCTCTGCCTACACAGTGGCCATTGTGCTAATTTTGCCTCTAATTTTGTAGGTATCTGCTACCATTTCCTAAATCCCAGGAGACTATAATGGCTAAAAAGCAAGAATTACACACTGACACCAGCACAACATGCAGTAGATGCTACATGGGGACTTCAAATGCTGCCACCAGATCAGCAAAGCTTTACTAACTGCCAGCTATGCTACTTAAGCGGGTACGACTGAGGCTTAAGATGCTAAAACATCTCTGTATCTACCTACAGCTGCACGAAGACAACAACAAGAAATGCAGGCAAGATTCAGCAGCTGCTTCAAGAGCAGTTCTGTACAGAATCAGTTTTAGATGTGAGGAAATAAGCACTGGTAGGGTGGAATTTCAGGATGTCATTTCCTCGACCTCTCTACAACGTTTGCTACGGCCTAATTATTCCCTTCTTTATTTTGTTACCCATTCAGAGCTATGCGGGCAGCACCATCCAGAAGTTGGTAACTGCTGTAGGCAATGCTTTGACAGATGGGTGGCTGTTGCTACAGCTGCTGCAGAGTTTGAGCACCTCCCTGTATAAAGCCTGTCAGCCTTTTGCAGCTGCACAGAGCCAGGAGCTCCATAGTTACACTGAAGTGACAAATAATTGCCCAGCCAAAAAAGTTTATCAGCAGAAAGAGCTACTTCTTTGTTGTGCTCCAAGAGTTACCTATTACTAACATGTTGGTTTGGAAAAGTTAACACCACCAGAGGTTTCAGGAATTCTCAAGCAACTTCCTGAATAAAGATGTTGACTTAGTGGTATGACTTCATGTTACAGGCATTACTGGTATCAGAAGTCTTCATTATTCTTGGACATCCTGTTCATACTGGCCAACAGGAGCCACAGAAAATCACTGTCCTGACTCTGGAGCTGAACGTGGCTTTGGGAAGCTGAAAGCTCTATGGCAGGCACTCAGTAGATAACTTCTGGCAGCCAAAGAGTACCTGCCCTAAATCGTAACTGCATGTTGTGCTTGGAGCATCTGCAAGAGCAAAGGGAGAAGGAGCTTCACCAAGGGTGGAGACAGGAGATCAACAACATCCACCCACACGGCAATCATCACGCTGGGCTGGGGTTGGAGAAGCGAGACCATTTTATCTTCTTATTGAGTCTCTTTAAGGAAAAGCCAGAAGAAATCCCATAAATACTTGACAAGGCAGGGAGCTGCTTGCCGCAGTCTGTGGGCAAAGCAGTGCTAGCTCTCTATCATGCTCTGCTGCGCTGCCTTTTTCCCCTTTATTTCCAGTAAGGAGCTTTGAATGCCGTGACTCTCTCACTGATTTTAACAGAAGAGTGAAATTCATCTTACCATCCCTTTATTATCATCTATACATCACCAAGAGCTTTGTGTCCATTTGCAAGTATGATTTCATTCCGCAGGAAACACCGGTGATATCAAAGTTTTCCTGTTGAAGATGGTATTCATAATGCAAGCCTGGAGTTTTAGACTTTCCATCGCCACTTTAAAAAGTCTTTGAACTCAGGTTCTCACTACATATGCAATGTACAGTGAGAATAGCTGGAGTACCAAAGATTCCTGTCTACGTACAGGATTTATTACATATGCTTTGTGCACTTCTATCAAAGCGAAGGCTTTGGCTCTATAGGAAAACTGTGGCTTATGTCCCAATATAAAATTTCCCTTTATTTTCCCAAGAGTACAAACAATCAGAGACTACAGCAAGCAAAAGAACATCTCTCAATCACGGAGCTTCCAGCTCTGCCTAATAAAGCTCTCAAGGACGGTGTGTGGCTTCTTTTCATGACTGCTCAGGAATCTGGGGGCTGGAATGCAGTAGCACCATCAAGACACTTGAGTTAAGGGATCAAAAGGAACTGAGCTCCCACAGGCAGCTGGTTTTGCTCCTACATGAGGACAAGCCACAACAAGTTCTCCTCCTCCTGAGAGGCCTTCAACCACTGGAACACCAGGGCTGATGACCCTTGAGGCTACTGCAAATGGAGAAGGATGCCAAAAAGGGAGGGAGATGCAAGACAAACAGCAGCTGTGCTAGGGCATGCTCCCCTACAATAATACTTGCTCATTAGCTCTATCAGCTGCCCTTGCACCTCCTAGTTTGGAGGAAGACTGTTCACCATGAGGAGCTTGTTTTCTATTAGCTCCCTGAACCATCACACTCCTCTTTCCGTATCATTCCACTGGCCATCCTCTTTAACTACCTTCTTCTCATGTTTCAGAACGCCCCAATGATCCCAAACTGTCTTCTCCTTTTTCTCAGCAGTTGCCAGATTACTGCAGAATGTCTCAGTCTTCTCTCTTTTGTCAAACATCAGGCAACTGCCAACCTGCAGACTGCAGGGAGGGCTGTGTGCTTCAAATACAGATGTTACACAACAGCCCATACCCAACCCGTTATCCACCGTGTGGCCTCCACAACGTTCCGTGGTAAGACACAACTTTCAAGGCAATACACTAAGGCTGGGATGAACACTCTTCACCAAATCAGCAGTTTCTGCCATTTCTAGTAGCTGGAAGATCACTGAAATCTGTTCAGGAAGGCAGCAAAGGGCAGCGTGGCTCTAAAATACTTTCTGTCTTGCAAAAGCACCTCTTAAATTATTATTTTGCTATTATTAATCCATGTTGCATCCCTGCAAAGTTAATCAGATCAGACTTTCACTAATGCTGTTTTGAAATGGCTAAAGTATGACTTAACCATCTTGGTGCCTCATTAATAGCACAAATGAGCATAAGTGCTCATTGCTCCAATTTACTTCTTTATTTATCAGTAAACCTGCACTGATAAGAAATGCCTAGCTAAAATTAGTTTCACTAATAACCTACTACTTCCAATTTGTAATCACAGCTTGTTTGGTCAGAAATTAGTATTTACTCGATAACAGAGCTATAATCTGCTCAAATGGCCTCTATGCATGCAGCATTATTTTTATCAGCCCGTGTCACAGGCACACAGACCTGAGTTATGATAAATGGGAGCAACCATATGTCGGGACAGGTGGAAGTCAGCAAATGCAGGAGGCAAGGGGAAGGAGGCAGGTTGCCAGTCTGAGCAGGACACTGGCACAGGTGGTGTCTGAACCAGTCCAAAGCATGAGAAAATGATGAGCAGGAGCAAGCCCTGGCTGTCACAAAGCACATAAACCTCATTTGCTGTACTGAGCACATAAGGATTTTATCTAAGGAGAGAAAAAACAATGTGTTTATGAGTAAAGGTACTAGTTCACATGTGCCTAAGGTGACAGCACGCACAGATTGAAAACAGTGAGTATCAGCACTGTATCACAGCTGGAAACACGAGTGAACAGGTGGAAAAAGAGAGACTGAAATTTTCCTTTGGAGAGAGGAGACATTTTGCCACTTTGTTTTGTGCCTTTGAGACATTTCATGTCTCTCACCATCTAAGTATGCAATACCCAGTAATCTTTACAAAGACAAACACACGACTGCTCACCAGTCTGATCAGCAACTTGGATGCCAGTCTAAAGATTTTCAGGTGAGAAACTGGCCAGCTACGAAGGCAGAGGACAGGGCATTCAGGTAACCTGCACTGAGCTTAGTGAGAACCAGGTATCCAGGTGAGCCTCTGTGGCTTCCGAGCACCCAAAAGTGCCTATGCTATCAGGCACATCAGGGCAAGCAGCTGCACTTGAATAGCATCTCCAAGCTCACATCCACTGGCTCCTTCCAATGGACAGAGGAGGCTGACAATGGCACCCCATGCCCGTACACTGTCTTAGACCTTCCCCGTTGCATGAAGACACTACGTGGCTCATGGTTCAGCTTGTGCCTTCCTGTAATCCATCTTCAGAGCCTTTTTAACAGCATTACACAGTTGCATCTGTGCTTCTCCACCTCAGAGATGCCTCCAAAAGCCTCCACATGCAGGCGCCAGGCGTCCCAGAAGCCAGGAGTCGCAGTACATCCCAACACATCCAGATCCAGGAGCGTGGCACACAGCTGGATTCAGCAGCGCGTGTGCTGACGAGGTGCGCTGCTCCTCCAATCGTGCGAGCCCAAAAGGGAGAGGATTTGGCTGCACACCAGCATTTTAATCAAGGAAGTGACATCCATTTCCCACAGAGCAGAAAGTAAACAGCGTGGTCCGCTGGGGCAGGGTGCAAAGCAGCGCAGGGAAAAGCTGGAATGGGGCCACAGCAGTTCAGCCACACACAGCTTCACTGAACTGCTCTCGCCTTCAATCACTGCTGATTCCAAGAGGAGTACCAGAAGTAACTTCAGTTACGTGGTACAGAGGAAACCATCATGCAGACAAAGATCCTTTTATATTGCTAGAACCTGGTTGACATCGGAGTAAATCATTTACAAGGTGAGCCTTTAGAAAATGTGCTTAAATGAGAGGAAAATTAAGAACTGGAGTTCTTGAATACATGGGGGAAAAAATACAGTGGGTATTCCAGAACACTCTGCAGCTTTATCAGTGTTTATCAGCACCCTGTTACAGTCATCTGCAAGCTTACTCGCAGCAGCACTTGCTGATGTTCTGTTTGTTGGAAGATTTACACACAGATGTTCAGTGAACTCGCCTTTGCCATCAGCAAATCCCACCAATGTTACAAGCACAAAGGATCTAAACTTCAACCCTTCTTTGAAACCACAGAGCTGCAGTTTTCATTGTAAATTGGAGACAGTGGTCTCAAAAAGCGGTGTGATTATAGAGCATTGGAAGGGAAGCTCGTTCCAAAGGCAGAGACCCCTTAATTTGACCCCCAGCCTCGCACCTGAACTCAACACTCACCCACCTTCTCCTCTGTAGCACAGTAAAACCAAATGATTTTCCCCAATTTCAACAAGAGAAGCTTGGAAATTTTTGTTTCAAACGGAGCTGGGTACCTGGCGTGCGCATTAGCTCAATATAAACTGTTTGTTTTGACCCCAAATTGCACTGTATATATTGAGAAATATTTAGATATAACATTCTTCTGGCTACTAACTGTAATGAGGTCTGCAGGCATCTGCCAAGACAGAAATTCAACAACAGCCTTTTTCAGTTGCAAGTCAGCAACATTCTTCCAGCGAGTTAACCCAAACCAAAACATGGTTAATGAAACCAGGTGACTAGGTTTAGAAAATGATTTCTCTTACCCAGTCCACTTTAATTCCTTATTCCCATGCCCCTTCCCAAATAATGTGCTGTGAGAGCAGACAGACTATCATAGAACCATAGAATGGTTTGGGTTGGAAGGAACCTTAAAGCTCATCCAGTTCCAACCCCGTGCCACGGGCAGGGACCCCTTCCACTGGAGCAGCTTGCTCCAAGCCCCTGTGTCCAACCTGGCCTTGAACACTGCCAGGGATGGGGCAGCCACAGCTTCTCTGGGCACCCTGTGCCAGCGCCTCAGCACCCTCACAGGGAAGAGCTTCATTCCAATAGTAACCTAAATCTACCCTCTTTCAGCTTAAAGCAATCCCCCCTTTTCCTGTCACTATCTCCCTTCCACTCTCCTGCTGTGCTGAAAAGCAGTTTAAAACCCCAGTGCATTCTTTCACACTAGTGAGCTGCTCATCAGCAAGACAAAAATTAAGTCAGCTCTAATACAGACCGTGAACCAAGTCAGAAGAAAGAAATCTCTGTAGAAATAAGATGCCAGAGTGTTCCATTTTATTACTCTTCCCACCCTCCTAGCACCCTGCATGGGTGTATGAGTGTCTCTGTCTCTCATCCCACACACCAAAGAGGCAGCTCTCTGTCAATACTTTAGCAATGAGCAATGCAGGAACCCTGGACTATCACTGTCCATTTCAATCCATCCTTTCCATTATGGGGAAAATGGTCAGTGCTGCCTTGCACCCAGAATTTCTTGCCCTGTGCAGTCACACCATCACAAGCCTTGCTGGGATTTACTTTCAGCCAGATTGCTTTTTCAAGCAGCAGGTAGCTGCTAAAATTACCATTTGATACGTAGCAATAAACTGCTAAATTAAAACCTGAAAATTAAATCAGAATTTAAATAACATGTCGCTTCCTTAACCGGCTCTACTTGAGGGAGGCTGCCACTCCATCCTCTCCAGACTTCATCTCAAACCCCACCTAGAACACCCTACTGTGACAGCCACGTGGCAATAGCTGGGGGAGGTTAGCTGGATCCGTGCCCACCTGAAAGCCAGAAATGGTCTCTGAAGGCTCAACATAAGCTTTTCAGTGAGTCCTCCTCCTCATAATGATACAAATACCTCACTTTCTCTGCAAGTTCTACATTGCCCAGAATAGAAGGTTGCTCAAACTGAGTTTCTGCTCTGCTGCAAAGAGCTGCTATGAAGTAAATGACTTCAGCATTCAGATATTACAAACAAGCAGGAGCAGTTCCACAGTTCCAGCAGGGACGTCAAGGAACAGCTTTGAATCACCTCAGCTTTCACCATGGAAGAAGGTAACCACTGTTGGATGGCTTTAATGATTCTTTTAGCCTAAATGAGGGGAATGCAGGGAGCTGGAGAGAGAAGGGGAGGAGAAAGGATGTCAATTTGACATCACATCACTAGAGCTCCCATTTCAGCTAAAGAGACCAAGATATTTCCATTTAACTCCTTGGCCCAAGAGGCCTATGAGACAGCTGCACATCTTGTTTCATTGTGACAGAAGGTTTCTCTCCAACTGGATAACTTACATATTCAACAGCTCATCTTTGGAATGACGCACAAGCATATGGAGCAGGGGAATGGAGGAGAAAGAGGCATTATCCCAGCTACAGCTCCTCAAGCTTATAAAAGCCCTTACCCCCAATCTACCGGGACTCAGGAAGCATCTCAACACAAATTGCAGCAACGGGCACAGAAACTCCTTATCTCACCTGGTGTACAAGGATTCAGGGAGACAAAGCACTCTAAAGCATTTATTCCTAAAATAGAGGCAGTTCTAAGTGCACTCTTCAGTCTTGCAGTGTTACTCATCCAACAGCTGAGCTTGGGTTGGAGGTGGTACAGCATCAGTCAGAACCGCATTCGGTTTGGATGCAACTGGGACTGCAGTTGGCACTAACACTTTAAAGCTATCGCTGTGTCTCAGACACCCAGAATTGAGTGTTTGCTGATAAGCTACACCACCAGTTGGAAATCCCATAAACTACTTCTTACGCCAAGCTTCAGCTTTATTTTTAAACAGCAAACTTCTACTTTTTCTTTTTCCTTCTATTTTCCCCCAGAAATCAAAGATAGCCTCAAAATTCCTCACACACAAAGCCTGCTCTCTCCCCCCCCCATTTCAGGAGTTAATCTAAAATTCAACCTAAACCCCATGGAATTCATGCACATGGGAAAGCGCACGTGGAGCAAAATTGCACGCCACAAGGATGTGTGCAGACTGGCAGGCAACCTCTAACCTGTTTAACTGCAGCCTGAAAAAAGAGCGTTTTTATTTGGCTAGACTGAAAAAATATCTGAATGTATATAATTGAGGCACATCATAGCAAGTACAAACACTGCAGACTCATTTCCTAGCTATGCCTATTCCAAATTCATCTGAATTCAAATCCAAACTAGGTGCTGAAATAGAATCCAATGCAACTGCATATCATCTCCTTTGGTAGACATGTACAAAGACCAGCACATACATCACATCTGAAACAGCGTGGAAAGCTCTCCTCTCCCAGACCACAGAAATACTCAGGAGTTTGTCAGCAGCTAAAGAAAGGTCTGGGATATTGAGTACAGCACTAAAAGGCAACAAACCTGAATAGCAGTTTTGTGACTGAGACAACAAAAGATACGGGAATAAAAAAGTCTGTTCACTTGTGGCTTAGTCATCTCATCTGAGCATGAGGAAAAATACCCCACCCTCATTTGAGGTAAGTTGGTACAGGTGGAACTTTGAGAGACACTTTGAAGTTGCACTCTTAAAGCATTTCCATAAATATTAACTATTACTTTTATGCCAACCTCCATTTAGCACAAAAGCATTTGAAATTCAAAATCACTTGCATGCAGCCCTGGAAAAGAGCTGGAAAACCGAGGAAAAGTTCAAGCTTTGCCTTCTAGTGTCTGTCAGTAGGACTGGCATGAACTACTTACAACATTCATAGGCTACGTCGTAGAAAAGTTCATTTCCAACCATCTACAGGGGTTGTTTCTAGGCAAGAAAGACTCTGAATTGGTGATTTTACCCCCACCTATGTTCAGTTGCCACGCCTCTTCTTCCAGCCTCAATCTCTACAGAACATTAAGGACTAGTAAACCCAAGCCAATGCAGACTGGAATTTGGGCTGGGAATTTAAACTGGGACATGAACAAACCCAACAGCCATCTTATCCCAGATTTTTGGCTGCTGAGTTGAAGGGTAAGATCCCGAGGAGATTCTGCAGGAGCTCACGCAGGAGCTTACCAACATCATCAGTACGAACCATAAAGTAAACATTTGTCTCTTGGAACAAAACCCATGACCTCCCACAAAGGCAATTTTCCTTTATTGCCACACCTCTATACATACATTATGGCAGAATATTAGGATCCTTTGTCAAGCATTTTAAGCATGCGTGTGAATTGCCAACAGAGGCACAACAAGACATCGCCGAAGGCACAACTCACCTAAAACTGCTGCAGCTTATGGTGATCAAAGCAGAAAGTCAGGATTGATGAACGTGCAGTCATTGTTGGAGCCAACCTGTACAAAACAGTTACTTTTTAAAGACTGAGAGGATCCTGGGTACTGAAAGCTTCAAACAGCCCTTAAGGACCCGCATCTTCTGGATTCCCCACTTTTGTCATGAAGAGGAAATTTCCCATATATGGCCCACGCCAACAAGCAGACCAGGGTCACATTTCAGTTCATGGCTGTTGGCAAGCCCAAGCATTCAGACACGGTGAGTCAGTG